GCCTCCCAAGTAGCTGGGACCACAGGCACCCGCCACAATGCCCAGCTATGTTCTGGTTGCAACCGTCATTGTTGTTTGGGCTTTTCCTTAATATACATTAATGTGTGTAGTATTTCCAATAAGATCTTTAGAAAATGGGGCAGCGCCTGTGGCTCAGTGAGTAGGGCGCCAGCCCCATATACCAAGGGAGGCAGGTTCGAACCTGGCCCCCGGCCAAACTGCAACAAAAATATAGCCAGGTGTTGCAGCGGGTAGTCCCAGCTATTCGGAAGGCTGAGGCAAGAGAATCCCCTAAGCCCAAGAGTTGGAGGTTGCTGTGAGCTACGATGCCACGGTCCTCTACCAAGGGCGATAAAGTATGAAAGTATAAAAAGTTAAAAAAAATTTAAAAAGCATAAAAAGTAAAAAAAAAAAGAACTTTAGAAAATGCAGATGACCAAAGGGAAGAGGATGCTGTTAATTCTGCTGCCACCCAGAGTTACCTCTATTAGTGTTTTCTTTTTTCTTTCTTTTTTTTTTTTTTTGAGACAGAGTCTTACTATGTCACCCCAGGTAGAGTTCTGTAGCGTCACAGCAACCTCCATCTCTTGGACTTAAGCCATTCTCTTGCCTCAGCCTCCCAAGTACCTGGGACTACAGGTGCGTACCACAACGCCCAGCTATTCTTTTGTTATAGTTGGCAAGCTCAGGCTGGGTTCGAACCCACCAGTCCCGGTGTATGTGGTTGGTGCCCTAGCCACTGAGCCATAGGCACCGAGCCTATTAGTATTTTTCTTTTCTTTTCTTTTCTTTTTTTTTTTTTGAGACAGGGTCTCATTATGTCACCCTCAGTAGAGTGCTACAATCTCCAACTCCTGGGCTTAGGTGATTCTCTGGCCTCAGCCTCCTGAGTAGCTAGGATCACAGGCACCCGCCACAACGCCCAGCTATTTTTTTCTTGCAGTTTGGCCAGGGTCGGGTTTGAACTCGCCACCCTGGGTATATGGGGCCGGCACCCTACCCATTGAGCCACAGGCGCCACCCCTTATTAGTATTTTCATATATGGCTGACACTTTGAACAATTTGGGCACTGGGATGCTGCCCCCTACACAATCAAAAACCTGAGTATAACTTCGACTCCCTTCAGACTTAACTACTGGCCTATTGTTGACCAGAAGTCTTACCGATGACATAAATAGTAGATCAACACATATTTTATATACATGTATACTGTATTCTTACACTAAAATAAGCTAAAGAAGAGAAAAAAATCATAGGGAGAAAAAATATTACTATTAATTAAAGGGAAGTGGATCATCACAAAAGTTTTCATCCTCGTGGTGAGGAGGAGGACGAGGAAGAGGGTTACATCTTGTCTCAAGGGCGGCAGAGGCAGAAGAAAATCCATGTATAAATGGACCCACACAGTTCAAAACCGTGTATTCCAGGGTCAGCTTGTTACCAAAAGTTTGGCATTTGTCCCCAAGGCTGCAGAGAGGACAGAACGAGGACAGAGTAGGTTGAGGACAAGGAAAGGGAAGTTTATTAATTTGCCAGCAAATGAGGAGGATGGGAGAATCTCCTCTTATATGGCTGTCATCCTATCTATAAGCAGAAATACAGGCCTGGAGAGGTGGCTCGGCCTGTAATCCTGGCACTCTGAGAGGCTAAGGTGGGTGGATTGCTTGAGCTCAGGAGTTGGACACCAGCCTGAGCAAGAGTGAGACCTTGTCTCTAAAAATAGCCAGGCCTCGTGGAGGTGCCTATAGTCCTAGCTACTGGGGAGGCTGAGGCAGGAGGATTATTTGAGCCCAAGAGTTTGAGATTGCTGTGAGCTATGATGCCCAGGCACTCTACAGAAATATAGAGCTTTCAAAGGTAGTTTTCAGTTTCAGGCTATTGCTGTTTAATTGTCACATCTCTGGTAAAGACAATGTCAAGACCACAGCCTGATCAAATCCCTTGAGCCATCCTCTGTGGCACTAAAAACAAAGGACACTCCCCTTCTCTCTAATTACTAGCCTGAGGCAGGGAATCAGGTTTTAATTCCCCCAAAGGGAGGAAGATGTTAAAGAGACAACTGGTAAAACATTTTACCCTTTGTTACAAACTGTATATTCTTCGAGCCTTTTTCCTGCACCTGTGTAGGGTATGTTTTAACCAGGCTTGGAGTTGATGTCAAGCTTCTTTTCATTTGGCAATATATGGTGGATCTTTTCTTCAGCATCATTTCAAAGGCTGCATTTGTCTTGTTCTGGGTGGACAAACCATTATTCATTTAACCAAATACCTATTTTCGGACATGGAGGCTGTTCTCATTTTTTTCTTTAAACCATAAGAAATGAAGTCTGGGTGTTCCCAAGTTCTTTAGCAATTCAGACATCTCCCCTCGTAATTCCTTATAACCATAAATCCTCACAGATAGAGGGCATCCAGCTCTTCTGTCAAGTTCATTTCTCCCCTGCTTTTGCCAGTCCCCAGGGCAGGCTTTCATTTTCCACGCATCTGAAGGGGCCATGGCTCATCCGTCCAGCCAGCCAGTCACCCTGGTCCCTGCCTAGGGTGTCCCTTTCTGGTATTTTGTAACCGGTGTCTCTGGCTGTGGTCTCCCCACACCATCTTGTCCCTGAGGTCATCAAAGATCCTGCATCCATCATGGTCCATTCAGCAGTACAGTAACCTCTCAAGTCTTACAGACCAAGAGAATTTCATGCAAAGGAGTTCGTTCCCCAGATGATGGAGGAGCAGTCCACGGAGTCACCACAGCCAGAGTCACCACAGCTGGGAGCTGCTCCATCCTTTGAGCTGGAGGGAGTGGTGGGAGGAGAGGGAGTTGTCAGAACAAGGCACTGGCCACCTGATGGGAGCTAGAAAGATGGGGGAGCATGTCCTGCCAGAGGGGCTGTCCAGTGGGAACAGGAGCCCCAGAGAAGACACAACTGCTGTGAGGAAGCCATCCAACACAGAGAAAGAGGGGGAACCTTGCTGTGATGTCTCTCTTCCAACTCCCCAGCCTTCCTCCAGTGGCTAACTCCATCAGGAAGCAGTTGGCACCGGGATCTACAAGATGTTGTTTCCTTCAATTACAGGAGATGACTGTCACAGGCCTAACCTTCATTCCCCCAATGCACAACTTAGATTTGGCTGTTTTGTCAAACAAACTTCAGCAGAGGCTTAGGGCTCACTGCAAACAATTACAACAGAAAAGAAGAACTGAAACACAGATCCCTGGATATCACAGCCAACTGCATGCAACCCCCTCCCCAGGTCCCTCAGGGGCCAGTTCCCCTTCTATAACTGTCCCCGGGGGCAGGTCCCTTTGATCCTGTCCATCCTAACCAGGGTCCAGGCACCTCTTCAACATCTCTGGGCCCTGGCAGGAGGAGCAAACCATTCCCTAAACACTCACCCCTTCGTTAACATGGAGTGACAGCTTGGGAGCAGTTCCAGTCTTCACTGTCCCAAACCCAAGGCCCATGCGTGAATTTTGCCCCTATCGCTGACCCAGCAAAAAGAATCGGAATTATTTAAGTGAGACCCATTTCTTCGAACCTTTTGCATGTCTCAGACCCAAAGACTGAAGCTGACGTGCCAGGGTTTCCCCTAGCCCAGTGACCTTTCTAGGAGAAAAGCTGTCCCCAAGCCCAATGTCAAGCCTGGGGACCTGCCTTGATACAGAGTGCAAGGAGGGTCATCGGACGCCCTATATCGCCTCTGGCTAAAGACAAGGGGTCATAGGTTTTCCTTTGCTGCAAGGAACATTCTGGAATATACTTCTGCTCCCTTGCCTAGTTAGTTTCCTCAGGGGAAACCCTCTGGGAATAGAATTACTGGGGTAAAAGATAGGCAGGTGGTGCAGGCTTTTGCTTCGCGCTGCCAAATTGCTCTTTTATACCACTGCGTAGCTTGGGTTATTCTTGCTGTTTCTGCTTCTCAGTTCCTTGATAAACCACTGAAGAGTCTTGAGGTGAATCAGCCACCAGACCAGATAAACAAGCCAGCCTGTCCCTGTGCTGTTTTATGCACCTCAGAAGGGAACTCCCTTGGATCCCGCCCAGAGCCTGGAATTCCAGAGCACACAGGCCGGGCACCTTTGGACCCCTACTCCGCACCAGCACAGGTTCTGCCCGCCCTTCTCTCCCCGCCCCAAGCGTGCCCGGGTGGAGCCAGCTGCCAAGGCGGCAAGGCTCCCAGTCCTCTGTGCAGAGCCTGAGTGGAGGCCACGAGAGGGCCCTGTGCCCAGCCCTGATGAAGACGCTCCTGACCATCCTGGCTGTGGGATCCCTGGCTGGTGAGTGCCCATTTGCCCCATGATCAAACTGCCCCCAACCCCAGGAGGATCAGGGATCAGGGCTGTCTCCCTGACACTCTCCCCAGTCCAGCCCAGTCAGTTTCAGTTTCTGCTCTGAGAGGGCTGAAGGTGCCGAGTTCTCCTGGAGAAGCAGATGCCCCACTCAGGCTCCTGGGGAGAATGGAGGGTGCCTGGACCCGGAGTTCTTCCCTTGGGTTTGGGGAGGTGTAGCCCACTGTCTGGACTGGGGTGCTGGATCTCTGTACCCCAGTGGATGGAGCACTGGCCTGGAGGAGGCAGCGTCCCCTCCTCTGCCTCTGCCTGGGCCTGGCCCAGCAGGGTGAACGAAGCTTGAGCACAGCCACTGCCTCTCTCCTTGTCCCTCGGGGGTGTCGGGGGGGACTCTTTTGGCCCCTCTTGCTAGATCTGAAAGAGCCTTTTCTGCTGGAGTGGCCAGGTCTACTAGGCTAATAGGTCTTACGATATCAAAGGCCTCTTGAAAACAGGACAAAGGGCATAATTTTTGAACCCAATAAAGTGGAGTTTTGGGG